TTATTTAAGGAAATGTTATAAGAAGAAATACGGACTTTGGAATGAGTAAAAACACTGGTTCACTGACTTTGAATTAAGTCATTCTGTGTGCTAAACTATAAAAAATCGATCGAAACTCCTATTAACCGAAGTGTAACAGTAAAACTTACACACTTCGTATACTTTTTATCAATCGAAAATGTGAAATGTAACAAAAATTACGAAAAAGTTGAAAATCACACGTAAAAAAGTTGGACGTTGGAAACTAATTGAAGCATTTCAGTGAACAGTTTAACAGCTTTCTTTTAACGGTAGGTAGAAAATCCTTAGCGATGCCGAAGTGTCGGTCTTCTCTTCAGCTTGTTATTGCCAAGTGATTTGAAAAAACTGTCACAAAATATAGGTTAACGAAGGAGACACTGGTATGGATAATCGGAGAATCATCTACTTCTAAGCAACGTTTGATACCAGTTGAGTATATGATATCTACGACGTTACTTTCGAACACATTCGATCGAATGCATTTTGATTTCTATTCCTCTGGCTTTTGATAAAAATACGAAGCTAAACTAATAAACTAGTAGAGTAGATTGAAATATCAGAAACAATGACTCCGTTCCTTATTGCCAAAATTAGCTTCGATAACAATATGGATAGGAATCCCAATGTTAAGTTAAACGGCTACAGGTCGGAGCGTTCCGTCGCTAAGAGACGCTTTCCTACCCGGCCAGCGAGAACTGATAAGCTTCGGATGGTGAGCAACGTTTGTTTACTGAACAAACGTTGACTAAAATCCTACATTCGTTGGTGGGGTAGACCATTCGGCTATAGGATGGAAATGTTATATCTTTTTATTTTCTGCCTACTATAATTTCGCGGTAGGGTACTAAGCGAAATACAACCACAACGTTGCTGAGATATTTGCAAAACTCTGGACCGCAGGTGTCTATGGTGGAGAACGAACGCGCTATTGTCCTTTCCGGGGAAATAGCTGAGAGACAGGCGAAACAAAGAACCCNTGCTGAGATATTTGCAAAACTCTGGACCGCAGGTGTCTATGGTGGAGAACGAACGCGCTATTGTCCTTTCACGGGAGTAACGCGTTCACCACCACACCATGCGGGTCCTTTGTTTCGCCTGTCTCTCAGCTATTTCTATCGATATTTGCCACAACAATCACCCTTCAGCGGGATTGATCTGGGGCGCCAAAATCGGCATAGAACCCAGTTAAGCTGCGGCTGTAGTTGAAATCACAATGTTATACCTTTTTATTTCCTGCCTACTATAATTTCGCTGCAGGGTACTAAGCGAAATACAACCACAACGCTGCTGAGATATTTGCAAAACTCTGGACCGCAGGTGTCTATGGTGGGGAACGAACGCGCTATTGTCCTTTCCGGGGAAATAGCTGAGAGACAGGCGAAACAAAGAACCCGCATGGTGTGGTGGTGAACGCGTTACTCCCCGGAAAGGACAATAGCGCGTTCGTTCCCCACCATAGACACCTGCGGTTCAGAGTTTTGCAAATATCTCAGCAACGTTGTGGTTGTATAGGATGGAAAGTCATCAGAATGGAGAAGAATAGTTTCAGTTATTCACTGACTCCTCCGCAAGGGTCTATCGCCTAATCACTGTGAATGATAACCCTGGGTTTTGCATAACAGTGTAGAGACAAAGGTTCATCACATAAGCTTTACTAGCCCAACTGAAAAGAACTACGTTATTTTCTGGAGGTATAACCTAATCAGAAATTGTAGCAGTTTTATCATAAACTGTCGTAAAAGTGACTACTCATCAAATCTTTTTTTGTATCAACCAGAGAACGATCTGGCGTGACTCCAAGAAGGAAAGAAAGTTCGTCTACTACCGAAATAGTAGTAAAGGATAACGCGCTGGGCGACGATAAATCCTTGACTGATATATCTCATATCTGACTATATGCTACTCAACGCAGAGTTACTGACTTTGTATTTGCCGTATGAAATAGATTTTGGTGGCTCAGCAGTGTATCAAGCACGCGTTTTAACTTCTCAGAAAAGTAATGCTGCAATCTGCCGACCCCGGAGGAATAGAAAGCCTAGTTTGTTTGCTGCGCGTAATCGAACCAAAGACCACGTGTGCATTGTAAAGCATCTCTAACCGCTGTGTTACATTCGCCTTGTGAAAACAAATGTGAAAACATAATAGAAAAGTAAATGGAATTTTTTACAGAATCGAAACTAAAGTGTACATGAAATGCTTCCACTTCTACATAGATTGCAGGAAGTCGTAATATTGAAAAAGCGAAATGCAAAAATTGTCATAATTTGCGATTGTTTTGGCTTCATTACTCGTTTTTAAGACGGTACAGACATCGACTTCTTCAGTTTCAAACCAACTAGAAATTTAGGTTACTTGTTCCACTCGGTTTTGGAACAATATAGGCATTGACATAAACTTCTGCAGTTCTAGTGCTCTTATAACAACGCTCAGCACAGAAGAATCTTACAACCATGTAGTTTTGGTCTTAGCTAAAATGTAGAATCTTCCTTCAGTTGTCGTGCTTATACAAGCGTTTTTTCATGGTGGTATGAGGGAAGATAGCTGAGCGCCTATTTTAACATATAGGAAACCACTGAAATTAATACAAACCTCCTCAGCGGTTCACAGAGCTTTTCACTACACCTTCTGTATTCTATCGATAACTTGGTCAACACAAGTGTTGGGTCTAACATGGCTGTGGCTCATGAAAAACTATTCTGCACACTTAATATTTTGCAACGACCTCCTTTTTGGTTGCTACCGTTTAGCCGTAAGAGGAGGGTATTGCTGTAGGAGCGGGTATGCAGCATGGAGACTGTGAACGATGAAAGGACGCGGAAATACTGCTACATGGAAACTGGAAATGATAACTTAGGGAAGGCTCGAAAATTTGCCGCTTATTTTCAAAAAAAAAGCTGACGTGTTTATGTCGCGGACGAGTTTTAGTGTTCGCATGTGTTGAATTCACTCTTGGATGCCGTCGGAGATAACGTCGTTGTTAACGGTTTAGCGTCAGTTTCTAACTCCGAGAGTTCGGGTTCCGAGGCTCCTTTGGCTAACAGCGAATGTCGAGGTATAAATAGATGCGATGGACTCGTACCCCTGTGCCTTTGTCTTCCACCTTGTTTTGTTGGTGGCGATGACTTGCCTATTGTTCTCAAAAACCAGCCCATAACAGCTCAATGTCTATTCATGTTGTTTTTTCTCTAAAGATGCTACCGTAGACTTGAAAGTTTGTAGAATATTTCACAACACAATGGAATATAAGACAAATAGGAGATGCTCTGAAAAAGCGGAAAAAAATTTATTGTTAAGGATTTACCTCAACCGTTTTTCTATTACAGGGCTATTCCTTTATTTTTTGCCTACTTTAATTTTTCACGGCACGGTTATTACGTGGATTACAATCATAACAATGCTGAGATATTGGCAAAACTTGGATCCTGCGCCAGGTCTAACCACGCCTTCCTTTTGTGGAGGCTCGCGCATTACGCACTGTGCCACGGAGGCCCTTGTAGGCTAACTTAATTAATTAACTAACCTTAAAGTGAACAAGGGTCTACGTGGCGCGGTGTGTAATTCGCAAGCGAAATCGTGGTTCGGTCTGGCGCAGGGTACAATTTTGCGATTATTTCAACATCTTTATGGTTACCTTTCTATTAATTTGTTATTTCTGTTTGCACAATTCATTAAGATAGTAATTTTACTAATATCCAGAATGCTATCTGTTAAAGCACTACTAGTTTCGTGATTATATGTACGTGGGATCTACCAGAATGGGATCTAATGGGCTACTCTTGCATGTGACAGAGAAAGGTTAACAGGCGATAGAGGTGATGATGTACTATGCAGACTAACTTATCGTGGGAAGAGGACTGGCTCATTTTCAGTCTGTAGCAGCTGACTGCAATGATAGCAAATTTGATGATGAGGTAATTTAATTTGCAAGTCCATCGCTGATGCAATTTCGATGTCCAAATTTAAAGACTTTATTACTTAAAGGCATATGAAAGACCATTTTGTAGGAGCAGTTCAACGAATCTCTACACTTTTTCGTAACCCTCTGCTGAAATGTTAATAACATGAGTAGTAAAAGTGGAATTGCACCCACTATTTTAATAAAAGAGTCTTATTACTATTAAGGGATTGTTGACTAACTCGATTGGGAACCTATAAACTCCAGTTCTCTCCACGAGAGCCAGAACTACTCGATTGGCACTGCTCGTTTAAGGAAGGTCAGTAACATCGCACTTTTCCTATGATGTTTTTTTTACAAATGTTTTTGGCAAAAATTAGCCACGGTAACTCGCTGGACAACGCTGTGGCATTAGTCCATGTTTTTGTGGAGATATCGAAGTGTTTCTCATTTTGGGTAAACCGGCCGGAACGATAATCCTCTCGCTCTACACCGCAGTTTGTAACTAAGAAATAGCTGCTTCTTAATCATTATGGGGTAGGCGATTTTTGGAGTTCTTCATTAGATCACACTAAGGCTCAGACATTCTTAATTTTTATGAGTTTTAATGAGTAATGTGGATCTCTTGAACGATTTAATAGTTTATAGAGATACGAATAGCGCATTGGTGATAATACCGTCCAATAAGCACAAAGAGCTCGAACTCGTCTAATCGAAGCCAGCAGCCTCCCACCCCGAGTCCAGAAAGTGGTGTAAACCTGTTTGGAAAGCGCCCTTCTATCCACAAAATCGACGAGCTTCTTACCACTGCTATGGTATAAGCTTTTCTACAGGGAATTTGACTCGATCCTCATTCAACAACATTTATAGACAAGAGTAGAGTTCTCAGATAGAACTGAATACAGACGCCAATCCTTCTTCCGAACTTCCAATCAGAACACCTTCTTAGATGATGGAGTAAAAACAGGAGTCTAATGGTAGTAATGAGGTTCTTATAATATATGAATTCGAGTCATACAAAGAAAAGTTCAGATTTTATTGACATCGAAAACAACAGAGAGGCATAGCTTGTATATTCTTCTTCTCATGGTTTAATTTTTGTCTTGCTCATGGAAGTTGTGTTTTTCAATCCCAATATCCCGACAACGATCTGTTTTGTTTGCGCGAACTCAGCCGTTCCTACAGGTGCCATTAGTGAAGATGTCGCATAGACATCCCTAAACAAGAACACCGTAGAGACATTAATTCCAATGTGTAGCAAAAGTACAAAAATAATAGCATTATGAACACTAATTTGTGATTTTATAAACTGGATAAAGGACTTCTACTGAAAGTAAGGTAGAGGTTGCTACATTTCCACACAGATATCCTTTGTTTAAGGAAACATCGTTTGCTGAAAGATCATGAAATGCGCCTATGGATGTTTCACCGAGTGCTACCCTTGTGGCAGAATTGTAGGGCTATAAATTTGGTCTATTGATGCGAATTATTCTCTTGAATCAGAAATATGACAGCTCAACTTTTTCTGACTTCAAACAAATTGGATTAAGTCTTACTATGCAAAATTCCTTAAAAAGGAGCCGTGTTCATAAAGAGTGGTGCGAGTCTCAAGACGATCTCTTTTTCACTGTTATTCTATTGGATGAATGACAACTGTTTTGGTAGAAGTACAGAGAAAATGTGTGCTGATGTTTCCGCCGTCACAGCAAGAAACAGCAAGCGAACTTTTGTGGGCTACGGTCAGGCTGGTAATGTTCGCTAGTATAATGCTCGAAAACAAAGAAGATGAGATACACCTATACCTGTTCACAGTTACAGCACAGACGGACTCAACCTGGCCAAACTGTTTCACAATTGGAGTATACCATCCAGCAAAAGAATGAAAGTCGCTGAAATCGCTTGGACTTTCGCCAGTTACTCCGGGGCCGTATACGTTCCAGTACCTTAACAGCCAAGTACATAGCCAGTTAAAATCTCGTCACGTCCAAAGCATTATAATTTATCGACAAATTTCATAAGCTGTCGCTGTCTTTTTAAAAGCAAATCAAGAAGTGGAAGAAAAATCTTAGAAGTAAGCAAATATCATTTTCAACCCATTTCATTCCCATCTATCATCGCTGCACTTGCCAAAAAATGGGCAGAATAAACATAAGAACAAGAAGGCGGTTTTTTAAACAACGAATATTGGAAGCTATTAGAGCTCAAAAGCTCTTGCTTAGGTGCTTTAAGCAGTAATGGCCTTCCAATTAGTTGTTCTGTGACAGCAACAGCTCTCAATACCATCACTATTGGAACTGCTCATTGCTAGGTGAGAGCATTTTTTCTTTTCAGTCCTACAATGCAATATCAGTAACCTTCAGATCATCGCCACTACAACTGACTTAAGCGAAGATTGGAGGTTTGTCTAGTTGCACTAAGATTTTTGGCAACAACATTGATGAGTTCTTAAGTATGTACCGAACCTATCCATTTTCTGTTCGTCTACATAAACAGACTCTAAATATTTTGCCGATCACAAAACTTCCTCCGTTCAGTGCTTGTTTCACATTCTCGAACCACACAGATCTTCGGACTTAAATATGAATTCAGCGACTACTTGAGGACCTTGTCGTTTTCATGAACGTAATTGAACTCTGATCGAACACATTTTTTCTGGAATCATCGTACAGCTCTACTGGGCTCACCACAATGGATCACCACATGCAATCCTTGGTTTTTCCTAGTCTGAGAAAACTTTTCCCAGAAAGGTCTGATCCCAATTTGCCAGCTGTGGAACATGGGAGGCTTGGTTATCCCAGGTCGGCTGCATGGCATCTCTTAGCACTACTGCGGTTCATGTGTCTACTGGTAATCAACCACTGTGGCGATAGCTGATAGTAAAGAATACTCACCACAACATTGTATCATCCAGAATCAAGCCACTCGTTATTTGGTTCCAGTCGTAGTAATTGGTGTAGATGCCGACATTGAGCCCATAGTGCTTAAATTGAGTGCATTTTATAGAAACAGGACAGTTTGGTCAGTTTAATGTTGATATTTTCCTACCTGAGCTCTAGTCACAATGCTGTCAATAAAATTAACGTTTGCTGTGATGCTGGTGAACCAGTTAATTGGTGATGTCACCTGAAATACTTCTCCTTCATCTCACTTATCAGTGGTTTATTTTGAAGTTTTTGGTTTATCTATACCTGGCTCACAGACCCGTCTAACTGACCGATTACCCTCCGGTTAGACTCCAACATAAGTGCTACGCCCCGGTCGCGAACAGGACATTAAACGCGGTTTTAAATTGATTATGACACGCATTTGAATCAGAGGATGAACTCCCACCTTCTGTACTGTTATCGTTTATTCAGATTGCATTCACTAGCTGTTCTACCAAAAGCACGCAGTCAAGTAAGTGACTACGTTTGTGGGAGGCGATTAGGCCTCGCCTCTAAAAGCTAAGCTGCATGTGTATTTTGAGAAAGGTTAGCTAGCTACCTCTCGGTATTCCCACGTCCCACCCTGAAAGCTCCCTAGGAATGAGCGCCAAAATGCCAAAGATGACGAAACAAACGACACTCATTTTTCTGATTAAGAAAGAGCACCCGACACCGCAGCGTTGAGTACGGCGAGTACGGAGGTGGTTTTAAAAATTCAGTACCTTTCTAGGCTGCTTAAATTTGGAAAGACTGATGTGGAGACCTGTAGCTTTAATGAATGATCACTTGCATCACAGTCCTCTGTTAAGACGATGATGATGTTGGCGAAAGGGTCAAGGCATAACGTCACTGGCATGGCTGAGACGAGTAGACCTCATCCATTAAGCTAATTCAATGGTTTGGTATGGCAAAGCCATTTTGGGAAATATCTCGGGAGCACCCGGGAAAAATAGAATAGAACAAAATGAGAGTGGCAGCAGACCGTCGAAAATTCCACATTTTCCGCTCTTCTGTTTCAGATGTCAAACGTAGAAAAAGAAGATAACCAACCCGGCTGTCAAAGTTCCTTATGGATATCTTAGAAGGAAGATATAATGATCAGCGCTTTGCTAGAGCGGTCATAACAAGAGGGTTACTCTTGCACGCAAAAGGAGAAATTTAAATTTATAGGCGCTCACTCGAATCACTCGATAACCAATAAGTGACACATGTAATAAAGGTGATCTCCATCTGAGAAATAGTCCTCTTCTACTTTACTGGTTACTATAAACATGACTTGGTTTTTTATGATCCCACCTGAATCCAAACAGTCAATAATTTGATTCCCGATGTGGTCAGATAGTTGTACATTTCGTCGACTTGCTCTTGTGCCGTTTTTGCTGAGTTTGGTTGTGGTGTCATGTACACCTCTGTGCCGAGTCCTGCTGAAAAAAGCGTGTGTAAATGAAATGGGTAAAAACCGACAAGGTACTCTTTTATTTTTTGGCATATCTTAACAATATGGCCGTTAGCGCATCAGCGCTTTATTTTTGTAATCTACGAGGTCACGAATGCGAAATAGTTGTAGATTCTGGTTTGATCTCGTAACGAGTTATCTGCCACCTGTTCTTTTGTTGACCGTCGACTGACTAGAGGGTGCCAGTAGAATCTTCATTTGTTCATGTCGTATGCAAGAGCAGCCCAGTGCCCTAGGAAGTCGATTAGTACCATATCCTTCCTCAAGGACTTTCGTGAAAAACTTTGACGATATAGTAAGTGGTCTTTCTTCCGTGCTTTGGACGTCTCATGTAATCCAGTCGCCAACAGTCCATCGTCGTCATCCTGTTCTTCAGTCCTGTCGTCAATCGGCTGTCGCTAAGACGAATTACGTATTAAGACGAGGTTGATAGACAATTCAATTTGGCTGACGTCTTGGTGCCTTCGTCTTCCTCATAGCCGGTAGTCCATGTCAAGAAGTAGCAAAGAAATACTGATAGACTGAATGAAGAAGTTGCATTGTGTTACTCGGCGTTTTATTAATGGCCAAGCTGACATGCTGTATAAATACGTGAAAAAATTGAACAAAGTGTGCTGCGAAACTCTGCGAAACTCCCAACAATTCTTTGAAGCGGTGCTCCCACTGAAGAAGGCCCGGCTAGATGTAATGACGAAGACACCACATCGAGAGCATGAATGTCTGTGGACTGCCGACTCGATTCATCGATAGACTATCAAAAGTCATTGTATAGGCCAGGTGTGCATTCATTCGCTTCTAACGATGCTTATTGAAGTCAAATGCATGGGGCATACTTCAGGAATTGTTCAACGCCTAGAGCTTTATCCTTTTAACACGTTTATTGTTCCCAGCAGTGAAGATATCCTGAATAAACCAAATGAACAGCACACGTTTACTGGTTGCAGCACGTTACAGGTAGAAGCGCTTGGATGTGAAGGCTATTATTTTGCTGAATAGACAAAATTCATCGTGACGTTTTGAAGTACAGCATATTCAGAGCTTAATAGGTCATCACCACAAGCAGTCGCTTGTTTTTGGTTATTGAGATGAGATTCATTACCGCACTGCATTTTTTACTAGGACGAGAAAGTCGCCTTTCTTCTTGACATCAGTGTGCTAGCCAAGGCGACGTTTTTCTATAGCAGGTTGTGGTTGCACACTCAGGAGCAGCTAGTTTCACCTTTTCGCGACTGTCCAAATATGATCTTATTCTTTTATTCAAATAAATTTAAAGCAAGGATCTTTAATGTCCAGTAACATTCTGTTATGTGTTGAAATTAACTCGTACATTGTCTCATGGCTATTGGTTCCCAGTAATTCACTTTATCAAATATTTTTAGATAAAAGACGAACCGTCGTAGGCGTTCTGGATATTGTAAACTACCGCAGGATCGACTTCACCTTGACCGGCTGGAGAATAACATCTACAAAATTCGACAATACATTAGTCATTTCTAATCCACTTTAGTGAGAATAATGGCATTATTATTTTCAATGATGCTGGGAAATTCGAAAAAATTGGCCCTCCAGATCAATCCCGCTGACGGGTGATTGCTGATGGCGAAAGATCGATAGAACTAGCTGAGAGACAGACGAAACGAAGGACTCGCGTGGTGTGGTGGTCAACGCGCTACTCACCGGAAAGGACAATAGCGCGTTCGTTCCCCACAGCATGCACCTGAGGTGCGGAGTTTTGCGAATATCTCAGCATCATTGAAGTTATATTTCACAATGTATACCCTGCCGTTAAAAAGAATAGGCAGTAAATAATAAGTTAAAATTGGCATTATTATTGTTACTCGGCATTCTTGTTATTTCGTCACGCCTACTATTTATTCACTTTCTGTTATAACATGGTTTTATACCATTCTTGTAATTTTCACCTACCTAGCATTTCAGTCTATCGTTATTCTCGCACTGTCGTTTTTACTATCATCATCTTTATTATTATTCTCTTTTTACATTATCCGTTTTCCACATCTGCTGTTCGGGTCCCGTCACTTCTCGCATTCGATTCATTTCCTCGCATCCATCATTCACGAAGCTACTCCAACTTTTGCTTGTAATTTTGCTGCTGCTTGAGAATTTTCTTTTCATCATGAATGTGGTTTAATGCTATTCGAGTCTATTCACCCTGGGTTCTTGAGATAGCCTGGTTCTCCTAAACGAGTCCGGCACCAGTTTTCCTATCCTGTGGAGATGAGAGACTTGATGAGTCTGAAGCGGGGTCGAACCAGTATAGTACTCGTGATAATCAGCATCACTACCACTGTGCTACGTGCCTCCTATTATTGCTGTTATCTCTATTGCTGATGATAGTAGTAGTGTTAAAATAAGGATTGGTATCAGTACTATACCTACCATGGTTTGCTGCCCCATTGTGGTTCGTGTTTTATAGGTGTCGAACGAAGATATATGACGAAGGGATCGTGGTCCCAGCAAGGTCAATGAAACTGGTAGGGAGCTTGAACGAGTAGATACTACGGCCAACCCATTTACCACCGACTCGTGACTAACCTGGCGTCGCAAACACTTGGTGCTACCGACCTAGTACAGAGAACACTATTTCTTGTGCTATCATACATTTACTATTTTATTTGCATGTTGTTCTGTGAACACTACTCTCATATAACGCATAAATAATTTTACCTACGTCTCAAGGATCCGAGAAGGTCTGTTGTTTTCACTGATCTCATTGTGGACCTTTTGCTCATCTGGACCAACTATCTTAGCGCTCTTCCATTCTTGTATACAAATGCTCCACCCATATCATGTGAATGATATAGGTTCTGTATGTTGCCCCTGTAGTCTCCATATTTCCATCATTGCAGTTCGTTTGTTGCTTGTGATCTTCGAACCATGATTTCGAACGGGTCTGTAAGATCTGCCCGTTGCCAAACAGTATAGGAGGAGTGTTGTTGAGTTGCGAATCCATCTATTCCCGCTTCATCCAGCGCTTCCACTTGTTTTTGACTCATCTTACTTGAGACGTATTTGCGCTATATATTATCACTTCTTTATCCTAGTCAATAAATCCATTGCTATCCTATTTTATTGTCAGGGTTAATTCTTAATTCATAGATCAACGCTGTGATTGATACTCTATTGGTTTTATGCCTGAGTCATCCTTTATTCAGCTATAGCTCCATGTGCATGTGCAACGCTTGAATTCTCCAAGTTTCAGGTTCGTACTACTGTTCAAATAAAAGTTCCATGTTGCTGGTCATTAGAAGATGTGCTGGAAAACTAACACTTGAACCGTTTTTCTAAATGTACATCGTGGATCAAGCCACGATTATCCCTTCCGGAGGCGAACGCGTTTATCACCACACCATGCGGGTCCTTCATTTCGCCTGTCTCTCAGTTAGTTTTCTATCGATCAGTGCCATCGGCAATCATCCGTCAATGGGAATGGATTTGGGAAGACCAAATCGGCATTGAACCCAGTTAAGCTGACGCTGTAGTTGAAAATGACAATGTTAGATTTTTATTTAGTACTCTTTACTTCACCGGAAAGGGTAGTGGCGCGCTCGTCCTCCACCGCAGGCACCTGCGGTCCGCGGTTTTGCAAATATCTCAAAATCAATGAGGTTGTATCACAGATAATACCGTGAGTAGAATCTTTACTGATGGCTGTTGGGCTCACTAAAGGGCCTTGTAAACTAGTAAAACTGATTTGATAAATGATTTCAACACTGACTCTCATTGAACCTCGTCAGGAATAGTCAAAGTCTTCGTTTATTGATACGCCTACACGAACGTGTTAAAAATCTTTGTTATGGCTAGACTTCCAGCAGTTTCGCCTATTTCGGAGTCTTGGTGATTCGAGTCGAGTGTCTTCATCCATTGCTTCTTCTTCCACTCTAGGTCATCGTGGTCATCGCATCGAGTCGAATCGAGCAGATTGTAGGTCCACACGAGTGAAGTGATCCTACTAGGAACTTACCTTCTATACACAGGACTTTAGCATGGCTGAAGTGACCTAACCTCACCCGGCAACTCTCCGAGATATAAGACGACCCTATGTTGACTGTCAAACAAAGTCATTTCTTTTAGTCATTAATCTACACTGTAGTAGTCGATTAATAATAGCTGGCACGTAGGAAAAAAAATAATGCCAATTTTACACGATTAGACTTGATGCGACGACTATGAAGAGACACAATGGAAGAAGAAACAGCTACTGTACACCCTCGACTCAAACCATCGCAGCTCTGAAGAAAGCGAAACCTCTGAACTTTTGGGAAAAGCGAGGATTTGTAACAAACTAATAAAAGCCTATCGTTGAAAAAAAACAAAAAGGGATTGATCTGGTAAGGGTAAAGTTCTTACTTTTTTGCTGGTGCTGCAACAGCATAATAACGACTGGTCTTACAGAAACGCTTTTTCATTTATTTCTATCATTATTATTTTCACTCTGAAACAAAACAAATCGAATTTCCGTCTGCTTTCGTTGTAAGTGCAAAAGGAAAGCAATCAGAGAATCATTGCTCTTCTCTTATTTTTCGGTCTCGCACCTTACCTAGAAGACCTCACCACTATAAATCTGCCGCTTTTGTTGTTTCAATTTTCACTGTTCCTCACTTTGGCTGTTTTCCGGCTTTTCTAGTCAGCAATGGTTTTCCACATATTGACCCGTTTATTTAGACCGTAATCAGTGTCTACTATCAGTTTAACTTTTGCGCCTGTGACTTTACCGGAAAGTGGTATACGAGATAAGATAAGTGCTTTTAAATAGTTTCAGTTTTATCTACTATGCAAGTGGAATGCTACAAACAATCAGATATCCGCTTGTGATTTCATTATTATTTCTTTTATTTGTGAGGTCATTTAAGTACAAATATGTACAACTGTTTTTCTCCAAGATAAAGTCTTTGTTTGGTCAATTTAAAGTACCTCAAAAAAACCACAGTGTAGCCGTACTGACGAATGCAGTCAAATGACGACACTGACACTGGCTGCGAAAAATCGAGTGCATATGAAAGACCATCCTGGAAAAGAACAATTCAAAGTAACTGCCAAAGAGTCATTTTTAAAAGCTGTTGAGGAAATTTCTCAAGAATAGTTCAGGGAAGTCCTAAACTGTTGGTATAGCAGTATTGCCTAGTATGTAAATTGCCGCATAAACCTTTCCCCTATACTTTCTAGCTCAAACTTATAGTTTCGTTTATTTTTTTTTTTTGCCCTTAGCGCAATACTGGAATCCAGAAAATTCGAATTCAACTATCTATTATATCGATTATACACATCGATTACGCTTGCGAGACAACGGAAATAATGGAGGAAGTGCTGGAGCCCAAATAATTCATTTTAGGACGCATCATTTAAGTGTCCAAAGTGCAAAATTGTTTTTTTTGTGAGCCAGAATGTTATCACTTTGTTTTTATAACAGCTGGCCAACTATATACATGTACTGATAAGTAAAAGAGCTATTAAAAGTGTGAAAACTAAACTGACCAATTTCTCAAGAGGAGGTGTCTTCTGCTGTGGTTCCATAGGGCTTGCCATGCAGCTACATCCTAAGACGAAAGCGAGGATAAAACCCTTCATTCTGAATGAAGAACGTTAAGCGCATTTCTTGGCATAGAAATCGAGGTTAAAGTCGGTGTGCGATAAAAAAAGTCTGATTAGATTTCCTAACACTTTAGAAACTCCATCGCCATATTCGAGTGCACATAACACCTGTGTGACATTTTCTGCATCTTGATTTACTTATTTAATTATTGCACGACCCGTAATCACATGCATCACACTATGCAGATCCAGTAGTTCTTTAGTTCGATTCCTTTCTT